AGTTAGAGTTACAGAGAGAGGCAGAGAGAGAGATTCCAACTACTGGTTCACTCCCAAATGGCCTCAACAACTGGTGCTGGGCCAGGCCAAAGCCAGGAACCAGGAGATTTCACCCAGGTCTCCCACATGGGTGGCAGGGACCTGAACTGGTGCCCATATGGGATGCTGGCATTGTAGGTGGTGGCTTTACCTGCCACACCACAATGCCAGCCCCTTCATCTTTCTTTTAATAATTGCCTTTTGAAAGATACCCATTTTGAGACATGCTTAAAAATACTTGAAATCTCTGCAGTTTTTGTTTTTGAGAGGCAGAAATAGTTCCCATCCATTGGTTCACTCCCCGGATATACACAATGGCAGGAGTTGGGCTGGGCCATAGCAGGGAGCCAGGAACTCAATCTAAGTCTCCTACATGGGTGGCAGGGACGCAGCTACATGAGTCATCTCTGTTGCCTGAGCAGGAAACTGGAATCAGGAGCCTGAGCTGGGTATTGAACCCAGACACTCAAGTATGGCCAAATGCCTGCTTCTACCTATTCATTTTCACCTGAAATTTTATAGAACTTTTATGTTGCTCTATTTTCAGCTTAGAAGTTGAGCCAACGGTATGTTAAGTTGCTAGAAGAGACTTTGATTATAAATGGAAAGCATTTCTGTGCTCAAGATATGGTAAGGGAGAAGCTTCTGGTCAAGTTGCTGTGGGATTTAGTTTTTCATATAAATTTCTAAAATTCAAAAATGTTGAGGTATTTTCTGTAGGTTACTTAAACAATGAGGCAATGTTGAGATCTGTTGTATACATGTATGATTTGGCCTTTTTTTATTGAATTCAAAATATTAGAGTTAATATTAAGATACCATTCAGACAGCTATAGAATGAACTGTTGTCCATTGTCACATCTTTTTGTTTAAACCCAAAAAAGCCATGTCCATTTATTGTGTATTTGATCACCAACCTCCCTCTTTAAAACAATCTATACTCATCCTGTCCCTTCTGAATTTCTGTTGCCTGCAGAGAACAGTTCATTTCCAGAAATGATACTTGTCTTTTTTTCCTATGTCTTCTCTGATTTAATTAACTGCTCAGCTAGTGGATGGGTCCAGGATGAAACTTGATAAACTTATTATGCAAAATTTAGCTGGTTGGATTTTTCTCTTTTATTCTACTGATCGGGCCAAGCCTGGCCATGAGTGTGAGTATTCCATTCTGTGATGAATTCAGGTCAGTTGTGAGCCCCTATCATCCTTGCTTCCCAAACCCTTTGAAAAAGGTTGATGCTGAGTGGAGCTCGAGGTGTTAATACAAAAGTAAAGCAAGGATAGCCTATTCTAAAGTAGCCTACAGGATGGCTCTTGCAAATAATCCATCGCAAAGATAAAACTACTGCATTCTAGACTGTAAGGTTAGACCAAACTGGGCCTTGCCCCTTTCTCTTCTGTGAAGGTACTAGATAGTGCTCTAAAATTCGCCTGAGAGTGTATTATTAGTCTGCCCAGGATGCCACAACAAGGACCAGAGCAGGTGACTTACACAGCACAAATGAATTTTCTCACAGTTTGGGGTCCAGATCTCCAATATCAAAGTCTGGGAAGGTTTGGTTTCTGGTGAGGGCTGTCTTCACTCTTGGCAGCTGGCTGCCTTCTTGCCCTGTTCTCACTTTTTCTGTCATAGCCTTTCCTCTGTGCTTCTGAGGGAATGGAGGAATCTCCTCTTGGGAAGCTGCTGGTTCCACCACGAGAGTGAGCCCCGTCGTCGTGAGCTAAACTAACACTGGTTACCTCTCAAACGCCCCATCTCCAGATGTCATTATATTGGGGGTATTCAAGCTTCAGTATATGTGCATTCGGAGTAGAATACACACATTCAGTCATTAGGATTTGGGAAAAATTACTTGGAGCTACAGGGTGACCTTGCAGGTTCAAGACATATGAAGTCATCTTCAGTTACACGATGGGATATGTAAATATATTTCACTATGATGAATATACAGATACGTCTGTCTATATATAAATTTTGGTTCTAGGTCCTTCCCTTGACATTTCCTCTTATGCACATAGAATCTAGAATCTAGACTGACCTGCTTTTTTTCCAAAAAACAAAAACTTAACAGTGACTTTATGACTTAACAAAGACTTAACAATGTTTTTTTCCAAAAAACAAAAACTTAACAATGACTTACCAAAGACTGAATGAAGAGTGCCTAAGCTTTCCTTTTGGAGCATTTTTTTCCTGACATTTTTGCTACGTTTTATAGAAGGAAAAAGCTTGCTTTAATTACTGATGCATTCATATTACTTTCTTTTATAAGTATTTATTTTGTGATACTGATTACTACCACTGTATAGACATCTGAAGATTTTAGAAGAATTTCAGTTATATACATCAGCAGTGTACTTGAATCTTGATTTAAAAAAAAAAATATTTATTGGAAAGGCAGAGTTATAAGAGAGGGAAGCACAGGCAGAGAGCGAGCGAGAGGTCTTCTGTCTGCTGGTTCACTCCCCAGATGGCTACAACGGCTGGGTCTGGGCGAGGCTGTGAAGCCAGGAGCTTGGGACTCCATCCAATTGCCCATGTTGGGGCAGGGGCCCAAGCACTTGGGCCATCTTTGACTGCTTTCCCATGTGTGTTAGCAAGGAGCTATATCAGAAGTGGAGCAGCCGGAACACAAACTGGCACCCATATGGGAGCAGGTGTTGCAGGTAGTGGCTTAACCTGCTGTGCCATGGTGCTGGCACCAGTGTAGTTGAACCGTAGGTAACTCAATAAATTTTACCTTCTTTGAATTCACTGTTGAAATAGTATCTCCATGTCAAATTGTCAGAAAAAAAAGTTAAATATTTCAGTTGGTATTTTAATTTTAATTTTTGTCATATTATTTAATCTTTTGCCAGCCTGCCAAATCTTTAGTAGCTTCCCAGTTGTGTCTAATAAATGGCAGATTTTAAAGCCATATGAAAAGGAAGGTTCCTGCTTTTTAGATACTTTGTGTGGAAGGATTTGGATTCTTTCTTATTCCTGGACATACCTATATGCCATACAAAGTTTATTTTATATGATGACTAAATTAAGACAGCTAGTCTTAATTTTGAGTTCATTGCTTCAAAATGTTCAAATTTGTGTCCTTGTCATGAATCTTTTATTATTAAATTTCACCTTCTTTCTTCATTAAGGTTAGAAATATTTGTGGGCCGGCGCCGCGGCTCACTAGGCTAATCCTCCGCCTAGCGGCGCCGGCACACTGGGTTCTAGTCCCGGTCAGGGCGCTGGATTCTGTCCTGGTTGCCCCTCTTCCAGGCCAGCCCTCTGCTGTGGCCAGGGAGTGCAGTGGAGGATGGCCCAGGTGCTTGGGCCCTGCACCCCATGGGAGACCAGGAAAAGCACCTGGCTCCTGGCTCCTGCCATCGGATCAGCGCGGTGCGCCGGCCGCAGCGCGCCGGCCGCGGCGGCCATTGGAGGGTGAACCAACGGCAAAGGAAGACCTTTCTCTCTGTCTCTCTGTCTCTCTGTCTCTCTGTCTCTCTCACTGTCCACTCTGCCTGTCAAAAAAAAAAGAAAAAAAAATATTTGTGACTAAAACTGTATTAAATGAGAAACTGAAGACAATTTATTTAGTGTATCTATTTTAGAAATGTCCCCCAAATTCTAGAAGATTTATTTTTATTTAAATTTATTTTGAAGTGTTTATCATCTTAGTGCCCATTTTACATTAAATATCATTGCAACAAGTAATGGTTAAGTTTCATTTTAAAGTAGTAAAAATAACGATAATTGATCAAGGATCAATACAACCTACCTTCTTAGATTTTGTTTTCTAAATCTGTGAGGATTTTATTTTGTTTTTCTTCATAACATTTAAACTGTTCCTTTCAATTTAAGACTTAGGGATGAGTATAATAGAGTTTATACCTCTATGAAATACAATATTAACACTTGCCAAAGTAATTTCAAAATGCTTAATTTTTTGGAGGTAATAGATTTTCCTATTGCCACTATAAGTTATGGAAAGAAAAGACACCAAGGAGCTAAAGAAATGATGAAATACTTAAATGTGGTATTCAGAAGGAATCTACTCCATGTGATCTAGATTTATAATTTTCACTTAGGCCAACATAATCTGTGTTTATTTACTCAACAAATATCTATTCAAAATATTCAAAAACTGGATGCTTCTAGAAACATCCCCTGATAATTTGGTATATTTTTATCCATCCATTAATTTTCAGATTTATATTGACATGGGGTGTGTGTGTATGTGTGTGAATGAGAGAGAGAGATCTGATGTTTGCTTATTTTGGTATCGGTATTAAAAAATGTTCTAAAAATTATATACTGTAAGACATGAAAAACATTAAAATTTTTATATTTAATGATTAAAGTAACTTTGGGATTTGTTTATATCTGCTCTGATGACTGAGATCTAAGTTTTTGGTTTTATTGTCCCTTAACAATTACAATGTGTTGTCTCCACAGTGAGTGGTCAGACTTTGTATATGTATTTGTATTTATATTTCAAATGTGAGGTCTAGGGATAATTAGAGTTTTTTTCTTCTCTCATCCTCTTTTAAATACTTTAAAGCTATTTTAAAATATTTTCATTTCATTTGTTTGGTGCTAGTAAATTATTCCTCTTAAATTAAAATTTGGATGGACCAGAAGTAAATTTTCAGCTCATTTTATGTTACAACTGAATTCCAGACTACCTTAGTCACTTTCAGCATGGACATCATAAAAATGTATTTCTTCTATGTCATACAGAATAAAACTCAGCAGCTCATTAGGTATAGGTATTTATGTGGAAGTTGATTTCTTGAAATAGGCTTTGCCTTCTTTCTTTCCCGCTTTCAGGCATTGAAAAGAGTGCTTTGGTCTTTTTAAACACAGTGGTATTACACTCTTCTTCCCGTCACTGTTAAAAAAAAATTGAGGCATGGGTAAAAATACCTTTTTATATCACAAATAAATTGAGCTTGTTATAGTCCCCTCTCTTCATTTTCAGGAAGAGGCAGAAATCCAGGCAGAACTTGAACGTTTGGAAAGAGTCAGAAATCTTCACATACGAGAGCTCAAAAGAATAAACAATGAAGATAATTCACAGTAAGTCATTATTTGTATTTCACAGTGTTATTTGATAAAAGTCAGCCTATTCATATCCTTCCCAGCACAGAGAGCAGAAATGTAACAGTTCATCATGAGGGGTGCTCCCCACATGGGAAGAGACCCCAAGTCCTTCCTGTGGCTTTGAAGGGCTTGTGGGAGCTGTCCCCAGATGCCTCACACATGCCAAGTGTCCCATCTCAAGGCATTTGTGCTTGCCACCATGTTCACCTGTGTTATGCTTGCAAACACCTGGGTGGCTCCTTGTTTCACCCCAGTGCTCACTGGAGAGGCCATGCTTAAACCACACTGATGGAACAGAATCTGCTACACCTCATTCCTCCCTTCAGTGCCCCTTCCTGTATCCTGGCATCCGCCATCGTATGTATCGCCATCTAGAACTGCAAGTTCATACTGCAGTTACTTCTTTTCTGTTAGCATGTAAGCTTCAGGAGAGCAGTGACTTAGTGCTGTTCTTACTGTATCCCCACCCTACACCAGTGGCTGGCCTGTGGTAAGCACTAAATAAGTGTTTGGGGCCAGCGCAGTGGTGCACTGGGTTAATCCTCCGCCTGCAGCACCGGCATCCCATATGGGTGCTGGTTTCTAGTCCCGGTTGCTCCTCGTTCAGTCCAGCTCTCTGCTATGGCCTGGGAGAGGAGTGGAGGATGGCCCAGGTCCTTGGGCCCCTGCACCCACTGGGGTGACCAGGAAGAAGCTCCTGGCTCCTGGCTTCAGATCAGTGCAGCTCTGGCTGTTGCAGCCATTTGGGGGGTGAACCAATGGAAAAAAGACCTTTCTTTCTGTCTCTCTCACTGTCTGTAACTCTGTCAAATAAATAAATAAAATATTTTTTAAAAAATAAGTATTTGTTGACTGAATACCAAAGTTACGTTAACGTTAGTGAAGAAGGTATTCCAACTAAGCCAAATATCCAGCATGATGCAAGAATTTGTGAAGAAACAGAAAAGTACATGTTACCATCTTTGCTCTTAATCCCTTGTTATCAAAATGAGCGCTGTAGATGGTTCATGTTAAAGGAATTTTTAAGATCCCTGTGGGAGCAAGAAGATTAAGCAAAGTACCACTTATATTTAATCAATGTAAAGGTATCTATGTAGACTTTTTAAGACTAATTACAGGCCGGCGCCGCGGCTCACTAGGCTAATCCTCTGCCTTGCAGCGCCAGCACCCTGGGTTCTAGTCCCGGTCGGGGCGCCGGATTCTGTCCCGGTTGCCCCTCTTCCAGGCCAGCTTCTGCTGTGGCCCAGGAGTGCAGTGGAGGATGGCCCAAGTACTTGGGCCCTGCTCCCCATGGGGGACCAGGATAAGTACCTGGCTCTTGCCATCGGATCAGCGCGGTGCACTGGCCGCAGCGCGCCGGCCGTGGCGGCCATTGGAGGGTGAACCAACGGCCAAAGGAAGACCTTTGTCTCTGTCTCTCTCTCTCACTGTCCACTCTGCCTGTCAAAAAAAAAATAATAATAATAATAATTACATTATTTGAAGCTCCATGAGTTACAAGCTACAAATTTGAAATGATGGGCTGATGTGGTGCAGCCAGGTAAGCTGCCACTGGCGACACTGGCATTTATACTGAGTGTCAATTTGAGTTCTGGCTGTTCTATTTCCAATCCAGCACCCCACTAATGTACCTGGGAAGGCAGATGATGATTGCCCAAGTGCTTGGGCCCCTGCCCCCTCTGTGGGAGACCAGGATGAAGTTTTCTGGCTTCTGGCTTTTGCCTAGCCCAGCCCTTGCTGTTGGGTCCATTTGGGGAGTGAACCAGCTGATGGATGATCTCTTATTGTCTCTCTGTCCTCTCTACCACTGTTGCTCTGCTTTTCCAATCTGTGTGTATCTGTGTGTGTGTGTGTATGTTTGTAGATAAATTGGAAGTGGCCAATTTGTGTTGTGAAATGTATCTTGCTTAGAAGGAGGCCTAACTGATGTATTTGTAGTTCATAAATATACAGAACATTCCATTTTGCAAGGTGAATGAGCTAATAGAAATAGAGTTAATGGATAGCTTAAATTCTCTCAGGTTACAGTTCTAATAAAGGCAGGTGGGACAAAGCTTAGCTTTTTTTTTTTTTTTTTGTTATTTTTATTTATTTATTTTGACATGCAGAGTTAGACAGAGATGAACAGAAAGGTCTTCCTTCCGTTGGTTCACCCCCAAAATGGCTGCCACGGCCGGCGCGTTGCGCCAGTCCAAAGCCAGGAGCCAGGTGCTTCTTCCTGGTCTCACACGTGGGTAGAGGGCCCAAGCACTTTGGCCATGCCCCACTGCCTTCCCGGGGCACAGCAGAGAGCTGGACTGGAAGAGGAGCAACTGGGACAGAACCAACGCCCCAACCAGGACTAGAACCTCGGGTGCCGGCACCGTAGGTAGAGGATTAGCCTAGTGAGCTGTGGCGCCAGCCAAAGCTTAGTTTTAAATTTACTATTCTGAAAATTCTGTTTAGGCTTTGTGGCTGTGACTAAAATATGGGTAAAGTAGAACAGCTTTACACAGACCCCTAAGACCGAAGCAGAGGGGTGGGCATTTGGCCGAGATGTGAAAATACTGATTAAGATGCCTACATCCCATATCAGAGTGCTTCTCAAGCCTAAATTCAGTTAATTTTGAATAAAATAATAATGTATTTACATCTAGAATTATGAAGCTATTGTTGGCCTTTTTATTTTTTTATTAAAGATTTTTTAAAATTTATTTGGATGAGAGGAGAAGCAGAGAGAGAGAGAAGTCTTCCATCTGCTGGTTCACTCCCCAGATGGCCGCAATGGCCGGTGCTGTGCTGATCTGAAGCTAGGAGCCAGGAGCTTCTTCTGGGTCTCCCACATGGGTGTAGGGGCCCAAGGACTTAGGCCATCTTCTGCTGCCTTCCCAGGCCATAGCAGAGAGCTGGAACGGAAATGGAGCAGCCAGGACTCAAGCCAGCACCCATATGGGATGCCAGCACTGCAGGTGGCAGCTTTACCTGCTACACCACAGCGCTGGCCCCTTTATTTAATTATATTTTATTTTTAAGATTTACTTATTTACTTGAGAAGCAGAGCTAGAGAGAGGGAGAGACAGAGAGAGAGGTCTTCCATCCACTGGTTCACTCTCCAAATGGCCACAATGGCGGAGCTGTGGCCAACCTGAAGCTAGGACTTTCATCTGGGTCTTGCACGTGGGTGCAGAAGCCCAAGGACCTGGGCCATCTTCCACTGCTTTCCCAGGCCCTAGCAGAGAGCTGGATGGGAAGAGGAGCAGCCGGGACTAGAACCAGCGCTCACATGGGATGCTGGTGCCACAGGAGGAGGCTTAACCTACTACACCATGGCACTGGTTCTTGTTGGCCTTTTTCAAAATTTGGAGAATGCACATTTTGAGACTACATTTTTCTGCTAAGCACATCACTTGACCTCTCTCTGCATCAGGGCCCACTTCAGGGGTTGGTTGAGAATTAAAAGATTTACCACATGTAAATGCTTAATATATATAATATATAATAAGTTAAATAGTAAATAATACTGTTGTCTGAGTGGTTTAAAGTTTAAAAACATATTTTTTTTTATTATTATTTTTTGAAAGACTGAAAGATCTTCTGTCTGCTGGTTTACTCCCCAAATGGCCACAATGGCCAAGCTGGAGCCAGGAGCTTTTTCCGGTCTCCCATATGGGTGCAGGGGCCCAAGCATTTGGGCCATTCTCCACTGCTTTTCCCTGCCGCATTAGCCAGGAGCTAGATGTAAAGCGGAGCAGCTGCTACATAAACTGGCACCCATAAGGGATGTCAGCACAGCACACGGTCCTGCTTTGCCACACTGTTGGCCCCAAATCTTTACGTTTTTAATTGGCGATTTAGGTTTTATTTTATAGAAGCCCAAAGACCAGAAGAGTTCATGATGGGTACCAATTCATAAATATAATTATTTTTAATCACATGCCAATACTATAAAACCTTGATTAACCATAATTCCCAGTACAAAAGTGTGTTTTTCTAAGAGTGGTGATTCCTGCTGAGTAGATAAGGTACTTCATAAAGCTCCTGGCAATACAGTGATGGAAGGTTTTTATGATCATTGAACCTGAATATTCAGCTATAATAGAGAAGCTTTGTGAGTGTGGAAGCCTTAAGATAAATGGTGGACCTTCAGATAAATTAGTGGATAATGAAAAGAAGTATTGAACAGAATTTTTTTAATTAACATAAGAATAACTGAGGAATACTAGGAATTTAAAAAGATAATGAAACTTTGAAGAAAATTTTTTTATTTTTAATGTGCTTGCTTTTTTCTCCTAACCCTAAGGTTCAAAGATCACCCAACATTAAACGAGAGATATTTATTACTTCATTTACTTGGTAGAGGTGGCTTCAGTGAAGTATACAAGGTAATACAAATTTAAATTTATTCTGTTCTTCACACTGCTATAGCAATGATATAGGAGTGTATGGTTACATAATACTTCTCTTTTGTCCACTGATTTTATGACTGGAGTTATGTCCTCATTGTTACTACAAAAAACAGTCTGTTGTGACTTCCGCTCTCTTATCTCTAAAGACGGTGTTTGCACCTGCACAGTCCCTTTGATATTTGGTACCTGCTCACCATTAGCCAATCAAGTTCCAATAATAACAACCTTCTGAATCAAGATGGGCAGGTAACCATTTAAAACAGTAAATTATAGAGTCATTGATTGCACCCTTTAATTTAAACATACCTGCAGCCTTAATGTGATCAGAATTTACCCAAATTCCTACCTATTTTTAAAACCATTGCTTTTTACTCATTATGTTCACTGTTTATACCTTCTTTCTTTTACTCTGCATTGTATCTTGAAGTCTCTTATTCTGTATTCTCCTTTTAGCAGCTTTTTGTAATCCAGTCTGATTAACTGACTTGCCATCTGTTTAATTCCACACCAGATTAACACACACAGGTACTTCAAAAAGTTTATAGAAAAATAGCATGAAAACCTAAGTTTATTTTGGCGCAAAAATTTCGGAAATCATGCAGGTTTTTGTTTCATAATGTTCATTTTCCATGAACTTTTTGAAGACTCCCTTGTATACATGGTTTTAAAAATTTTTTGCACCAAAATGAACTTATCTTTTAGTCCATTTTTTCCACAGAACTTTTTGCAGTCTCTTTGTGTGTGCGTCTCACACTTTTCTTTGTGAGCTCCATTCCTGTTTTTGTACATGACTAATTCACTTCCTCTGGGTGTTTTGAAGGCACTGGAAACTCCTGTTTGAAATGGAAGTATCATCTTCCTCTTCTCAAACCCCGTCTTCTGACACTGCTTCCTAATGCAGTGTGGCATTGCCGTTCATCTGCCAAGTTATTCCCTTTCAAAGCACCAGAACTCTTCCTTCACTCCTCCTTCCCCTCAGTTCCCTTCCCCCGACATATTACACATCTCTGCTGCCTGTTATTGTGAATGTTACTAAGCTCTTCTAAACCCAGCCATGGCCCCTCTCCTCTCTGCTTACGTAAGCCTTCTTCTCCAGCCTCCGAGCTGATCGATGGGCATTGCATTTATCCAGTTCATTTTGTGTGTTCCAGCTGGATGAGCTTTTTTGAAAGGCAGTCTGGTCATCCCTGCCTGTATGGCCCCTTGTGACTTGTGCTCTCGGTTAGGATGAAGTCATATTGACGGTCATCCTCTCACCTTAGTTTCTCTTTTCTCCAGAAGGCCCCCCCCCCCTTTCTTCATCCCCTTATATCAGATCTGGTATGCCTTTTATTTTTTAAATATTTGTTGAGTGTTAAATTTTTTTTATTTGAGAGATCTCTCATCCACTGATTGACTTCCCAAATGCCTGCAACTGCCAAGGCTGGGCAAGACCAAAGCCAGGAGACTGGAACTGAATCCAGTTCTCCCAGGTGTGGCAGGAACCCGGTTGCCATCACCTGATACCTGCCAGCATGCACATTAGCAGACAGCAGGAATTGGAAGCAGAGCTGGGACTCACACCCGGGTACTCTAATAGGAGACGTGGGTATCCTGCTGGCCTTTTAACTGCTGTTCCAGAAGACCTTCCTCCAACCCCCTCCCCCTCCATAGTGAATTTCCTATGCTCTGTGCTTCATTATATATCCACGTAGTTAGTGGTTAAGAGCTTTGATTCTAAAGCCAGACAACTGGGTTTAAATCATAACTGTGTATAAACTTGGGCATATTACTTAAACCTCTGCTTCACTGTATCCTTGTACTAATATCAGTTTCTACCTTATAGGGCCACTATAATGATTAATTGAACTATCACAAGTACATTGAAGCTTAGTAATATAAATTAATAAAATTATTGGAAATCTTGATTCAGTTTACCAAGGAATGTGCCTTTCTGATTTACTGGTTTCTAGTTCTAATTCTGGGGACAATGACGGGATTTGGATTCAAAGAACTTCAATTCTTATCTTGGGTCAACCATGAACTATTTTTGTTTTATTAACTTGGACAAGCAATAGGCATCATGGGGCCTCCTCTCCTCAAGAGTGATCTTTGAGCTCTTCCAATTCCTGTTTCTCTGATTTAGTTCATCCCGAGGCACTTAGTGTTGGAAGTTAGCTTAAGACCACAAGGTAGGGAAAAATATGATCATCCACCTTGGATTTCAAACTAATTTGGGGGCTGGTGCTGTGGTGTAGTGGGTAAAAGCTGCCGCCTGCAGTGCCAGCATCCCATATGGGTGCTGTTCAAGTCTTGGCTGCTCCACTTCCAATCCAGCTCTCTGCTATGGCCTGGGAGAGCAGTAGAAGATGGCCCAAATCCCTGGGCCCCTGCACCCCTGTGGGAGACCTGGAAGAAGCTCCTGGCTCCTGGCTTCATTCAGATCAGTGCGGCTTCGGGCATTGCGGCCATCTGGGGAGTGAACCAGTGGATGGAGGACCTCTTTGTCTGTCTGTCTGTCTGTCTCTCTCTCTCTGCTTCTGCCTCTCTGTAACTCTGCCTTTCAAATAAATAAATAAATTTTTTAAAAAACTAATTTGGATCTAAGAGTCACCAAAATTATAGTTAGCATCGGCTCACTGCAAAGTTGCTGAGCTTAGGCCTGTCCCAGGCTTTTGGGACTGCCCTCTGCTGCTGCCTAGGGCTACTTGAGCTGTTTGTAGCCCTGGGGGTGGGTAGACTTTTTTTGTAGAAATCAGAAAATATGCCGACTTGAACTTTATACCCACCTAAAGGTTAGTAACATTTCTTTTCAACCCCTTTCATGATTGCCCATTGCATTGGGAAATAAAAAAGCAAGTTATAAGTCAAGGAATAAGAACTTTCATCTTACATTAGGGTAGAAGAATCTGAACCAGTTGCTGTATGATTACTATTGGATTACAGATAGTAATACAGTCTTTAGGGAAAAAGCCAGCCATTCTTAACTAATGTTGGGAGGAAAATGCATTGTACATAATATACTATAACCTGTATACACTTATGGTAACTTTTTGTTGGGAATATATTTAGATTTCTCCTTTGGTTGTGCTTTGTGATTGCCTATGAATTTTATCCTTATTAAGCTCCTTTGCTTTTTGTCTTAAATACTACTTTTTTAAAATTCTGTTTCTTTAAATTTAACAGCTACTAATAGTAAAGCAATTAGCTATTCTTTATTGGATATTTACTATGAGGCATGTATTAATTCTGAACACTTTTTTATGCTTTACCCCATTTAATCCTCTTAGCAACTGTAATTCAGTAAGACTGAGACTTAAGAGACATGTCTCTTAGCACGGAGGCAGCCAGCTGATAAGTTCATTTGACTCCAGAGATAATATTCTTAACTACTGCATCCTATATCATGTCTGACTGCATGCTTTATAATTCTGTAGCAAAGCAGTCGCTTTAGGTTAAATTGATTGGGGGGGGGCAGTGGAGATTGGAGATTTCTTTCACTAAATACGTAAGCTTTTAAGTTTTTAAAGGGGCACTTTTGTATCTAAATCACAGTGGGTTAAATCTAATGGCATTCAGGATTAATCCTTTGAGATAACCAGGGAAATTTGGAGACAGGTTGGGTATGAGATGAGATTAAGAAATTATGGATGTAGTTGGGTGTGATAATGGCTTTTTCCTTTAGGCTTTATTATCTCTTAGAGACGCTGGAAAATTTGTGAGTGAGATTTGTTTTAAAAATAATCCCGGGGCTGATAGAAGCATGGGTAGTAGGAAGTAAATGAAATAAGGACAAAACATTTATAATTTTTGAAACTGGATGGTGAGTTCATAAGAGTGTATTATACTATTCTATGTTTGGGTATGTTAAAACAGTTTCATAATAACAATGCAGAATTTTTTTTCAACAGCTGCAAAATTGTTAGGAACTTAATTTTCAAAAGTGAAAAAAGTTGGGGGCTGGTGGTTGCTAGGAAAATATCTTTTTTTTTTTTTTTTTTTGAAGATTTATTTATTTATTTGAGAGGTAGAGTTACAGGGAGAGGTAGAGACAGAGAGAAAGGTCTTCTGTCCGCTGGTTCACTCCCCAAATGGCTGCAACAGCCAAAGCTGCGCTGATCTTGGGCCAGGAGCCAGGAGCTTCTTCCGGGTCTCCCATGCAGGCGCAGGGGCCCAAGGACCTGGGCCATCCTCCACTCCTCTCCCAGGCCATAGCAGAGAGCTGGATTGGAAGAAAAGCAGTGGGGACTAGAACCAGCACCTATATGGGATGCCGGCGCTTCAGGCCAGGGTGTTAACCCACTGCTCCACTGTGCCACGGCACCGGCCCCAGGAAAATATCTTTTAAAAGGTTATCCAACCCTCCAAAAAAAGCATTACTTGGGTGAGCATTGTGGCACAAAAGCCCATATTGAGCCATTTAGAGTCCCAGTTCTTCCACTTGTGATCCAGCTCCCTGCTAATGTGTATCTCAGGAGGCAGCAGATGATGGCTCAAGTGCTTAGGCCCCTTCCACCTACATGGGAAACCAGAATGAAATTCTGGCTCCTGGTGTTGGCCTGGCCCAGCCCCAGCTGTTGTTGGCATCTGGAGAGTGAACCAGCAGATGGAAGATTGAGTTCTTTCTTTCTCCATTCTTTCAAGTAGATTAAAATAATAAGCATTAACAACAATTTTTGGGGAAGCATTACAGCCATCTGTTTTCCTGGCTGTGTGCTGGAACTGCCAGACAGAGGAGCAGGTCCATATTAAAAACAAATAATTGCTTTATTATTTTATCTTGATATATATGACATTTATAAAACTTGAATGTGAAAATCTACGTTTGGGTTTTCTGTCACTCTGGAGTTTGTGTCTTATTTCTGATAATGTGAGCGGTGTATAGTCTCAGTAGAAATGATCATTAAAAATTACTGTCTATTCTAATCCCATATTTATGGCAAAAGCCATCACTAAAATAAGGACGTCTCTTCAGCTACTCAGTTGGTCTTTGGTCATAACTTTTTTTTTTTTTTTTTTTGCCTTGAATTCCAGGCTTTTGACCTTTATGAACAAAGATATGCTGCTGTGAAGATCCATCAGCTTAATAAAAGCTGGAGAGATGAGAAAAAAGAAAACTACCACAAGTAAATATCAACACTTTATGGTTTATTGGTTGAATTTGGAATGATCGTGGAGAATTAACACTCTCTCTTCTTGTAGACATGCCTGCAGAGAGTATAGAATACACAAAGAACTGGATCACCCCAGAATAGTTAAACTCTATGATTATTTCTCCTTGGATACAGACACGTAAGTGAAGCATGAAATATTTGGGGTGGGCACTGGCTGCAACAGTTAAGATGCTGCTGGGACTCTGGCCTCAGAATCAGCCCTTAAGGCATTCGGATCTGGCTAAAAAGCCCATGAGAGTTTCGCAGGCATGGAAAGCCAAGACACTGTGGCAGGAAAAAAAGACCTAAATGAAAGATCTCTGCAAGTAGATCCCAGTAGAAAGAACGGGCCATCAAAGAAGGAGGTACCTTTCTCTGAAGGGAGGAAGGAACTTCCACTTTGACTATGGCCTTGTCTAAATAAGATCGGAGTTGACGAACTCAAGAGGCTTCCATAGCGTTGGCAGCTCATTACAAGAGCCTTGGGTGATTACTGACGTCATAAATAAGAGTGTCAATTGTTAAATCAACAGGAGTCACTGTGCACCTGCTCCCCATGTAGGATCTCTGTCCTTAATGTGTTGTACTATGCGAATTAACAGTAAAACTACTACTCGAATAGTACTCTATACTTTGTGTGTCTGAGTGGGTGCAGTCTGTTGAAATCTTTACTTAGTATATAGTAAGTTAATCTTCTGTATATAAAGATAATTGAAAAACGAATCTTGATGAAGAATGGGATGGGAAAGGAAGTGGGAGATGGGATGGTTGCGGGTGGGAGGGAGGTTATGGGGAAAAAAGCCACTATCATTCAAAAGTTGTACTCTGTAAATTAATATTTATTAAATTAAAAAAAAAGCATCCCCCCCCCCCCAAAAAAAAAAGAAGATGCTGCTGGGGATGCCCACGTCCTGTTTTGGAGTGCCTGGGCCCGAGTCCAAGCTCTGCTTCCAATTCCAGCTTCCTGCTAATGTGCACCCAAGGAGGTAGCACGTGATGGCTCAACTAACTAGGTCCCTGGAACCCATGTGGGAGACCCTAATAAATTCTGGGCTCTTGGCTTTATTTAGCAGGCATTTGGGTAGCAAACAAGTAGATATAAGATCTCTTTCTCTGTCTTGCAAATTAAATATATAAGAAGAAATGATGGATTTGCTTCTGCTTTTCCTATCCTATGATGGTCAATGGAGTATTCTCCATTGTGACTCTGAATTACTGGATAATATTTATGTCTAATTTTTTTTCTTCTCTGTTACAGATTTTGTACAGTGTTAGAATACTGTGAAGGCAATGACTTGGATTTCTATCTGAAGCAACACAAATTAATGTCTGAGAAGGAAGCTAGATCTATTGTAATGCAGATTGTGAATGCACTAAGATATCTCAATGAGATCAAACCCCCTATTATACATTATGATCTTAAGCCAGGTAATTAATGCATCAAATAACTCATATAATCTCTAAAAACCATAAGTTACCTTAAAAATGGCTTTTTTAGTTTTTAAAACTTCAGTGGGATTGCTAATAGAATTAAAAGTTGATTTATTACATCACCACATTTTAAATATTTACCTCTCAAAGGTAAAATAGTAAAAATAATATTTTTTTACGGTGTCATTTTAAAAACTTTGTATTTTATTCTTAGGAAACATCCTTCTGGTGGATGGGACAGCATGTGGAGAAATCAAAATCACTGATTTTGGGCTGTCCAAGATTATGGATGACGACAGCTATGGTGTAGATGGAATGGATCTCACTTCCCAAGGGGCAGGCACTTACTGGTAAGAGTTACCTGGTGCCATTGTTTTTATGAGTATTTACATGTAGCCTTTGAGCTGGAGTCTTCCTTTCTCGTCTGTGCTTAACCACAAGTATTAGCAAACTAGAGAGCGTCTAAACTTGACATTAACCAGTACCTTGAGTACCTGTCAGCCAGAAATTCTGATGGAGAACTGATGGATTTTTCTTCTACAGTGTTAGAATCGTGTCTACTATGAATCTAAATACTGAAATTTTAAATTATTCCAAGCAAACCCATCAAACCTTCTCTGTAGAGGTTTTAATAGCTATAGTTTTTGTGGGACACAATATTTTGTTGATCATAGATGGGATAAATTTGGCATATGCTTGGTCTTTGGACTTGATTTTCAAAGACTTCATATATAATGATATGTATGTAAATGGATATCATCCCTTCAGAGTACCTAGGTGTTGACAAAAACTATATTGGTGTGAATTTTCAGACTACTCTGAGTAAATTAGCTTAGGAAATGAAATGAAATTTTAATGAAAGAGAAATAAGCATACCCAGCTTCACTGAACAGGATTGTGTTTCCAGAACAGTTTTTACATAGGCAGTCTGAGCTCACAGTCACCAGTTCCATAAAATGCCATGGGTCTGTATAGATTTTATTTTCCAGAAACAGGAGTTGATTTTAAAGTTTCAGATTCTGCTTGTGGCATTTCCTAGGAATATGGATAAGATAATGTAGATTTTCCCCCATACTGGTGAAATTATAATTCAAATTAGTCATCAACGTTGTCAGTCAGTAGTCTACATCTTGGTAGAACCGTGGCCCCCAGGGAAGACAGCTCGAGCACCACATTCTGAATGTCCGCAGGCCTTTGCTAATGTGGGCGGCACAAGAAATTGCCCTCTTACAGGAGGGCATGAGACTCAGAGGTTTATGTTAGGAGCTGTGCAAGAAGGAGTTATCTTTCATTCCCAGAAACTATAGGTATTTGTATCAAGTAGAAGAAACTCAGTCTGGTCTGTCACTCTCTGGTCTCAAATGTAATTATTCACTAAGAAGTAGTGGACTTACTTTTCCAAATGTTTTTGCCATCTGTTCCTACAATTGCTTTTCTAGCTTATACCTTTTAGCCTGGAGAGATAGTATGCGTCATTCAGTCACACCTATACCTACACAAATTATACATCTAACTTGGAGTTTCTACTTGATATTGGAGGTAGGAGAGCATTCGCATCACAAGTGACTTTTTGGTCATTGGTTCTGCTTCAGAGAGGCCTAAGGATCCTGCTGCCATCTCAGTGAGCCTCCAGAGTGAGTGTAGAACAGTTTACATAGAATAGATCCCCATTTAGCTGCATTATTCCTTTCCAAGATTTTTAGCTTTTCTAAGTTTCTGAGGTATAAGTAGCATTTTCTCAGACACTGCTAGTGCTTGAAACAGTGCAGTGAGCAGAGCGAGGCAGGCACCACACCCCTGTGTCCTAACAGGAGGAGCAGGGAAGACTTGCAGGGGCAAAGATGCTCACCCAGGGAAGTGGGGTGGCAGAGATTCAGAGAGGCACACAGCAAGCAAGCGAGCTGCTTTGACAGACTGATATGGGTTCTTATGGTGGGGGAAGGTAGTGATAGATTTTGGAAATGTATATTGTTTTTTGAAGAGGATGGGTTTTATGTGACGGACACGAGGTTATGTGAGAGTGGGAGTGCTGTGCAGCTTGTTGAACCACGTGATCAGATGTATCCTGTAGGAGGGGACTGCCTTGTCTGAGTGGAGGTTGACGGGCCTGGAGAGGGTTCCTATTTACAGTGTCCTAATGTGGCTATGTTTTGACTCAGATTTGGAATCTGAGTGAGAGTCCTCATTGATTCAAGGGGGTAAAACGTCTGTGCCGAGACTTAGACTGCCTTGGAAGCTCTTCAGTGGTGCCTTTTCCTTTTCTACCCCCAAAACTGTAGGTATTTACCTCCCGAGTGCTTTGTAGTTGGAAAAGAGCCACCAAAGATTTCCAACAAGGTTGATGTGTGGTCGGTCGGAGTCATCTTCTTTCAGTGTCTTTACGGAAGGAAGGTGAGTTGTATTTTCCCCTCTTAAAGGCAAGTTCAGAGCCTTCCGAGGAAAGCTTTTCCTCCTAAAATGTGCATGAGAATCATTCTACTGGTGGCTTTTTAAGGAAAAGAATGAACTATTAAAAGTGCCAACCTTTTCTGCGACCAGAAGACAAGAGTCTCCCCCTCGTTGCACACTCGCGGTGTGGCCTGGGGTGTGTGCGTCCTCAGCGAGAAGCACCACACTCCTTCATTGCTTTTTATAGAGAGCATAAGGTACAGGTGGCCACACACGTGTAGTCCCTGTACCACTCCACTCTTCATCGTGCACAGCATGGGAAGGCAGAACCCAGGCCTCCGCTCTCCAAGGCCTGAGCTCTTATTTTTATGTATTCAGAATACATTTGAAGCTTAATTTCCTGCTTTTACCTTAATTTACTTACATTGCCACAGCATTATTCTGCTTCTTCGATGTTGGAATTTCATAGTCTTTGCCTGCTGTCCATTGTAATTTTGTTTCTGTGAAAATACTTACCTATTTCCAAATAACTGAGGACAGGATTTTAGAGCTTCAGTGATGCTGTATGTCTGTTTAAATATTTTGTGAGATTAATTTCTCAATATCTTTTTCCCTTTCTTAAAAGCCATTTGGTCACAATCAATCTCAACAAGACATTCTTCAAGAAAATACAATATTAAAAGCCACAGAAGTTCAATTCCCTGTAAAACCAGTTGTAAGCAGTGAAGCCAAGGTATTAAATTTATATAAATAAGTTTCATGAATTGTGTTTGTAACACAGTAAGTAATACAACAGAAATTGCTAGTGCAAGGATGTGGGCTGCTGATTTGTTCTGGAATCCAGGGAGGCAAAAGAGGTGGACATCAGGTTTCCACGTGCATTAAAACATACCTGCATGGATTTCACCAATTTTATCCTAATTCCATTTTTCCATGAACATTAAGAAGTCGCTTGTCAAGGACTTCACCTAACCTGGTGTGGGCATTTTTTATACATAGTGGTCAGCTAACCACGATAAAATGATAATAGCTAGGGAAATTTAACTTCTAATTTTAAAGCAAAGGAGGTACATAATACTTTACCTATTTTTCTACAAAAAAGGGAAACAGTTATCCCTTGAGAAAATTTTATGTTGCCCCCACCACCAAAAAAAATTTAATCTCAGATACAGTACTGAGTAAAACAAGCCAGGCATGTAGGTAGGCATTGTAGCATAGTAGGTTAAGCCACTGCTTGGAATGCCTGCCACATCAAGTGCCAGTTTGAGCCTTGCCGCTTCATGCTGTGATGGCTCCAGTACTTGGGTTCCTGCCACTCAGGTAGGAGACCCAGACGCAGTTCTCAGCTCCTGGCTGTTGTGGGCATTTGAGGAGTGTACCAGTGAGAGGAAAAAACCGTAATTCTGCATTTCACATAAAGCAAGTCTTTAAAAATAATAAGCCAGACTTCATTTACATATGCATAGAACAAGCAAAACTCAACTATGTTAGGGTAGTCAGACTTAGGTTGTTCTGATAAAGCTCTTTTCCTTGATCTGTTGCCAATTAACATACATTTTATGTATTCTTCTAAAAGTATGCGTTACTTCAGTAAAGATTGTTTCTGATAGCCGTTGTCAAGGAAGGAAAGTTGATGGAAAATGGAATTAAATTATGAGTTTATTTTGATGCACAAAAATCTGAAATTCATGTTTTTCTCATAATCCCCATTTTCTATGATTTCTGAAGACCCTTTGTATGTAAAACTGGTTTGTGGAGATTAATAATTGCATTCTCTTAGCTTCTTCAAGATTGCAGTGATGCAGCCTCACCCTAATGCAACAGTCACTTCAGAGACTGTCTTTATGTTCAGTAGGAAAAAATACTGCTAAAGATGCTGTCTTAACCCTTTGCCAGATTGAACTGACAGCAAAATGGCATGAGGGTGGGATGATTATTTAGCAGAAGAGAAATGCTAGAAAAACTTTTCTGAATTTTATAAAATGCAGCTTTGCAGCAATAAATTCAGCTATAGCAATACTTGAGACTATAAAGTAGAAAGCTTAATTTTATTGCTGCAAAAAAAATTAATGCTTCAACTTTCTCTTAAAGATGTCCACCCTTCTGTAGTAATCAGTGGATTGGTATTTACAGGGACAAATATTTTAATTGTTTTTTTAAGGCCTTTATAAGACGGTGTTTGGCATACCGAAAAGAAGATCGATTCGATGTGCACCAACTGGCAAATGACCCATATCTTCTCCCACACATGAGAAGATCAAATTCTTCAGGAAACTTACACATGGCTGGGCTGACAGCATCCCCGACGCCCCCTTCTTCCAGCATAATTACTTACTGACTTTCCTCCAAAATTGGCATGAGATCTTTGAAACGCTTCCAGATGCACACTTGAGGTTGAGAGCATTTGAGTGTTGTTTTCGTTTGTACGCAGGACATGGTTAAGAACTGTTTATGATCTGAAGTTCTTCAGAGCGTCATTTGTATGAGTGGATCGTGAATGATGAATGAAGGATGACGGCCTGTTGCACCGAGACAGGAAGACCACGCTAAGACACAAGAGAAATGGGCTTTCTTGTTTATTTGGGGGAACATTGTAAATAACGTTTATAATACTTAAATACATTTGATTGTTACTAGAGAGTTCTAATATGAAGGGTAGTTTTTCATTATTTAAAAACACATGGAAAAAAATATGAGACATATTTCTAACCCAAGAACTACAGTGCCTGGATACATTCTTCAGCATTCGGCAGTTAACCTGCTGAAACCAAAGTAAGAACTGAATGACAGTGACAGTTGTGTTTTATAATACAGAATGCGAGACTTAGAATCTTTGGACAAAGTTAGGCTTTGTCATTTGCCTGTTCTGGCTCTTACCAAGTTGTACCTCGAAAATCACATGTCCTTTTTTTTCACTGGTTATATTAAAGGGAGAGCTATTATTCCTAGATACTTCACACCTTTGACAAAATTAGCTGCTTGTTTGGAAATCAGTTGAATTCACTAAATTGTAACATCTCCAGTGTCTTCAACATGTTTGAATTGTTAACAGGTATTTTTCCTTTTGTTACCAGGCCTTGTTCATCAACACAAGTGACAGTATGTAACCAAATGCAGACTAGTTCTATGCAGGATAATGATAAATTCCCTTCTCATTCTATTGTAAATTACTGTACAGATGTCATATTTCAATTACTAAGTTTCAGCAGCTTATTCTTGTACAAATGTTTAAAAATATGGCTTTTCTAATTGGATATTGTATTTTTTTTAAGTCTTCTTGAAGGCGCTTTAATTGCTGCTAAATGACGTTGCTTCTTTGCTAAAAAATTGAATGAGCTCCTTGAAGGTGCAAGTTGACTGTACGTCATCGAGATATTAAAAGCAGGCTTTCATTAACAATCAAGGCATGTAAAAATGATCCATGTTGAACATACTGAGTTCTTTAGATCAGTTTCTTGGGTTCTAGGGCTGTGGAGCACATAGATACTAGATTTATAAATTGTTCGTGGTTACTCTACATTTCTAGAAGGTTCTTATCAGCAAGGTGGGGTAATGGTCCCATAAACAAGTTTCTTGTGGTTTGTACAGATTTGTTAAAATGTGAACATTTTCCAGCTGCCTTGTGTGGTAGAAACCAATCTTTTTCAGGATGCTGTTTTTTCACTTCTCTAAGGATTTCTTTCTTCGTCATATCTGTGATGCTTACCTGTAAGCTGTCCATGTTGCCGAAAAAGGAGGCTATACTCACCACCAGTGCTCCTTAATATTGTACAGTTTAACTGTGGCTCTTATTTCTGATGTTGCAAGCCATTTTGTTTTTTCATTGTACATAGACACATTGTCTAAGATGCTGCTGAAATTGTAGAGAATGTAGCCAAAACAGTAATAAACAATGACAGTTAAAGTGTAAAGACTATGAAAATCACATCAGAAGGAGCTTTCAAGATTTAGGATATTGACTGTCTTAGCTCCTTTACTTAAGAATCAGCTGAATAAATTCTTTTAAGTATACTTCAAGACAAGTATAAAATGTTGTTTCAAGCTGTTAAGTTATACTAATAACCATTATCAACGCTAATCCGGGGTGAGTAACACTTAGCATTATCAGGAGTGGCTTGAGGGCTATACCTGTTCCTCTGTAGATTAAGATAGAAATCCTGTAAAAAAATACTGACGCAGTAATGAAGTGTTAGCAGTACTTGAGTGCTTTAGGTGCTGCCCGCGCATTTTTCTAGTTTTGTTTGAATTTTCATCTTTCTGAATCCTAAAGTTCAAAGTAACTGTTAAAGTCCTGAATTCAAAGAAAATGCCTAGTTTTAAGATTTTGCTGAGGAATAAAATGGATGTTAGATCTACCTGAGGCTGAATCAATAGTATAGACTTAGATCACCACCTCACCCACTGTATTGCTGCCTAATCGATGCCTGCCTGCTGGTGTCAGATGCAGAAATGGAGGAAAACAAGCCATAGCATCACACTGCTCTGTGACTTGGGTTTGGGATGACATTTTGTACTCAAAAAGTGTACACAAGTGAGGCTGGCTTTAGCCGAGTGGTTAAGACACCTCCTCCCACACTCACGGTATCCAAGTCTGACCCCTGGCTCCAGCTTCCTGCTGCAGCAGCCGTGATGCTGCAGTTGGGTTGCTGTCACCCACCTGGGAGGCCTGTGCAGCCTGTGGGAGGAGAACCAGTGAGTGGGAGTGAAGACATGAGTCCTAAACAAATGCTGTAGGTTTGGGGTGACGTGCCAGTGTCCCAGCAGGTCCAGGATGGCTAACGAGCAAAAGGGAGTAATTATTGTCCTCAAAATGGGAAATCGGTGCCTACTGCTAATTAATTTCAGAGTCACTGTGGCCTGGCACTCTTGGGCTCTGACACCTTCTGAGCGAAATCGGGGTCTCTCCAGAGCCATTACTGAGGCCAGGTCAAGCGCACAGTTCCTGCAGATAAAGTGCGAGTTCTCGTTCGATGTGTGCATGTTGGGAGTGAGCGCAGAAACCACTCTTAAGAGTTTGTAAGTTGGCGAGATAACTTGGTTGTTTTCTAATAAAGAGTGTTTGTTTCCTCACTCTGCCATCCCCTTCTACAAATGAACTCCTCCAGTTCAGTGACCATCACCTCCACAGACACCTCCTGCCTGAAGCTAGGTGGAGTTGCAGTGAAGCATTTAAAGAGTGTATGCTGTGTCGTTTTGCTGTCATCATTAGTTATTAAGTGCAGTTATGTCAGTTATTCTCAGGTGTTTAGATGTGTTTTACACTGTACATGCAAACTGCACGGTCCATTTAGATGCATACGTTGCTGTTGGATTTGTCAGCAGTAGGCTTACCTTTAGAAGTACGTATGCAGGTTCTGGAACCCCACCGTGGGCTCTGAGATTTGCTGTCTGATCATTTTCCTTCAAGTGTTCTCTCTAAAGATTTAATTCAAAATATGCTCTTAGCAGCGTTTTTAAATCTTAGTAGAGTTCTAGTTTCTGGGTTTTAGTTTATGCTGCAACAGCTTTAGGATTTATGTAACTTGGCTGTCAGTTTGAAGCAGCATTATTTCCTAAAACACCACACCTCTCCATTTACCTCCCCCCCCCCCACTCCCGCTCTCTCCTTTCCTTTGTCCTTCTGAGGATCTCATGCCCCACAACCCAAGAAAGTGCCTTAACCAGTAGAATAGTTATTGGAAATATATTAAGCGGGGGGCTGGCGCTGAGGCATAGCTGGTAAAGCCGCCGCCTGCAATGCTGGTACCCCACATGGACACCGGTTCAAGTCCTGGCTGCTCCACTTCTGATCCAGCTCTCTGCTATGGCCTGGGAAAGCAGTGGAAGATGGCCGGAGCCCTTGGGCCCCTGCACCCTTGTGGGGGACCCAGAGGAGGCTCCTAGCTCTGGATCGGCGCAGCTCCGGCCATTGTGAGTAGTCGGGGAGTGAACCAGCGGGTGGAAGACCCCTCTCTCCTTCTCATCTATATATTAGCTGAAACACATGGAAATCTTCCCTCATCTGAAGTGAACTACCTACATACAAGTGGACCAAAAGGTTAAGAACTCAGTTTTGAATCTATGTTCTTGGTTTCCAGTGCTGACCACCGTTTTCTTGCATTTCACATTGCTCACTGGAGAATGAGAACGGCACTGCCTTCGAGTGACTCAGGGACGGGGAGTTCCTATCCAGTGACACACTTCACCAAGTGTGCAGGATGGAGTTAAAAGATGGTTGCCTCAGGGCAAAATTGTAGCATGCATGCAGTTTTTTTTTTTTCATAATGCATGTTTATCATGAACTTTTTGAAGATGCCTCATATGCACGTACTTCAAAAGTTTCTTCACCAAAAATCACTCAATTTTCCATGAACTTTTTGAAGTACCTTCGTTTCTTTTCACTACATCAAAGATGTAGGTGTTTTGTAGTCTCTTTGAGAGTCAAATATCCTTTAGGTAAATAGAGCTGTGTTAAGGTGCAGTTTGAGGCATTTCTTGTACTTCTTTTAATTAACACGGAAGGTAGTAGTAACCTTTAACAGCAAATGGGCTTATTTATAAGAAAAAGTAATGGGCTTTCTAATGACACATGCAGAAGAGGTTAATGCTGCTAATGACTAGAAACTGAAGCCACGTTTTGTTTTCCACGGGGAAAGTCACTGTATAAATCCAACTCCTCCCCCACATCTGTGGGAAAAGTCATACTCAGAAACAAAATCTGGAAAATATAAAGGTGACCCTAGGACAACTCTCAGCTTCCACATTAGACGGCTGGCATTCCTGCGTTTCTTTAATGGCCTGGTACTGCAAAACAGAAGTAGCAACAGTGACTTGTTTTGAACTTGTAATAGAAACATTCCAGGCCAGGGCTGCGGCTCACTAGGCTAATCCTCCGCCTTGGGGCGCCGGCACACCAGGTTCTAGTCCCGGTTGGGGTGCCAGATTCTGTCCCGGTTGCCCCTCTTCCAGGCCAGCTCTCTGCTGTGGCCAGGGAGTGCAGTGGAGGATAGGATAAGTACCTGGCTCCTGCCATTGGATCAGTGTGGTGCGCCAGCCGCGGCAGCCATTGGAGAGTGAACCAATGGCAAAAGGAGGACCTTTCTGTCGCTCTCTCACTGTCCACTCTGCCTGTCCAAAAAAAAAAAAAAAAAAAGATTCCATCAAGCTCTTTCCCTCTGTTACACAAAGCACCCATCTTGGCATGAGAACTGGTTCCTTCAGCCGGTCACAGAGTTGGATGAAACCATGCTGGGAACGTGGACAGCTACAGTAATTCGCAATCGCCACAGAATCCAGAGTGGAAGCTGGCCCTGGCCTCTACAAGGCGGAACCTACGCCTGGCCTGCGTGGGCTCGAACTTTGATGGCAGATCCTGCGCCCTGTCCGCGCTACCGAGTGCTGGGTGTTAGTTGAGAGAAAGCCAGAAATGGAAGCGTCCATGTTCTCTCCACGGAACTTTTCCTGTGCCTAGCCCGGGTGTCTTCATCAAAGTGTTAGAACTTTTTCTGTTTCCCGAGTGTGGAACATTTGTGGTATAGAAGTTATCCCCCACCCCACTTAAGTGGGGGATTAAATAAGCTACGATAAACCTGAGTAGCAGATTCACCCCCTAAAAGAAAAATTCATCCATCATGCAAAAATCCGAGCCAGGCAAAGTGTCTTTCCCGGGGAAACTCACCGGCACTGCTCCCTGGGGCCTGCGGCAGGCCAGGCTGCTGTATCCCGAGGTCTGCGCTCGCGGGAACCCGTGGCCACAGGAGGAGAGCTAGAGGCAGTCTGTCAGGGGCCTGAGAGGCGGCACGTGATGGTACAGGGGAGCCATGAGGCTCCAGATATCTGCACAAGAGCTACCATCTCTTGCTCCACCTACTTACACAGGGACCCGCCTGTATCTACAAAGGGTCTTCCTGGTCTCAGCTGTGTCGCTAGCACGTGGCTCATGGCTTCTGCCAGATTTGCAAGCTGCGTGCAGCGGGGAAAGCCTTCATCTGGAGGAAACCCTGAAGCGCTGGCGCGCGAGGCCGCTACAGTGAACAGGCTCCAGGCAGGCAGCCGGGCAGTGCCCGCCGCGGAGGAGGCGCGAGGCGCGAGCCCGCCCCAGCCCAGCGCCCTTGCCGTCTGCCTGTTGCTGCATCTGGCTGAACAATCACTATTCCAGATGGAAACTCTTAAGCAAAATGACGCTAGTGTAACCCAAGATCATCACGTTAGACGGGGCTCACGGACAGGCTCTTCCTGGGTGGCTGCAGGGCGCCGTGCTTCCCTGAGAGCCCAGGGCGCTGGAACACTGGAGCACGAGGCCGTGACCCGCACTTTGTGTCCCTCACGACAATCTCTATTACGTCCATTACGTAGACGGAAATAAACTGAGATGGCCGAGGCTGCTTGCTCAAATAGTGAAGCGGCAGAGCTGGGGCTTTTTAAAGTTTGCTGCCATTTATGTGCTATGGATGTATAAAGTTTATAAATTTTATGCTATAAAATTTTACATGCTCTATGCTTCCAGTGGGCAGATCGCTTTTTTTTTAATCTTTAAAATCACGTCCAACTTGAGAGCTCTCTGAACACCAAACTGCAACGCACACAGATGACCTGGATACAAACCGTATTCAATACAGCGCTGCCCCCGCCACCGTGGGATGCAGGCCCCGTGAGTTACAGGCGCGCGCGTCCCTCCGCATTCAGAACAGCATTCCGGCGTGGAACTTTAAGGGACCAAGCTGACGACTCAGACCGCGGTATCCTCATGTAGTCATAAGGTCGGAAAACCGCACTGCAGGCTTTAGAAACGGTGTCTGGATCCTACACCCGTGTTGTAAGTAATCCTCGCAGCGGGCCTGGCTGACTCCAAAACCCGCAGTGTCAAAGCTCCGCGGCATCACACAGCGCTCATCGTTTCTTTACACCCTCCCGGCTGCTTCCCAGCTGCTCCAGTGGTGAGCGGATCACTTTCTGTGTTTGGAGATTTTAAAATCTTGGAAGTGACAGGAGTGACCAAAGCCATGAAGAACAGCCTCCGGTTCCACGGCCGACTTCCAGGGGTGCTGTTTAGTTGTAAGGTTAATGAATGAGACCGCGTTCTTCACAGAAGGGCAGCTGTGCTGCATCCGGGGATTCTGAGGACCGGATTCTGCTGTAGCTTGGTTTCTTACCTGGCCCAGCTGCATGGTGCAGGAAAGAAAGGTGTGGGAGGCAGAGCAGCCCCTGCCCTAGGCCCCCCAGTACAGACCCCTGTGAGGCGGTGCGGGGAGCCCGCCAGGCTCCATTCTCTAACCTTCCCCCAACCACGCCCCTCTCCCTCCAGTCCTGGTGTGGAGAGGGTGACGGTCAGGGATCCACGCACTGAGCCTGCTGCTCTCTCAGAGCGCGCACCTGG